CCGTCTGCTCGCACCTAAATTATTAATAAATATGTCACGGCAAGAAAACCAGCATCGACCCCGCGGCGGCTCCGCTCTCTCCGAAGTCGATGCCAACGCACAGTATTGACCTTCTCGGGAGGCCTCACGGGGCGGCCCGCCTCGGAGAAGCTAATTTGCTCCCACGCGTGGGGAAGCAGATGTCCACGGCCAAGACAGCGGTCGGGAGGCAGAAACCAGGCGTTGGACAAGACCCTAAAGCCTCCCTCACTGTGCTGACAGCCTCTCATGCCCTCCGGGAGAGGCCGAGCTCTCTACTGGTTTTCTTCCGCGTTGCCAAGAGTATTTTACAAAAAAGTCGGATAATAGTGTCCCACTTATTTGGTGAAGTTTATGAAAAAAACCAAGATGTTAATTGGACGTATGTGTATTTCCCACAGCCTGGGTCTGCTTCTACTCTGGGCGCCGCGTACACGAAACCCCTGCTCGGCTTGACCCACTGCTATGCCTCTCTCACCTCTGATCGCGCCAACTCCTGGACCAGCCTCGGGCTGTGGTCCGCCCTGGGACAGCTCCCTCGTCCTGCAGCTAATTGCCCATCCCGGGGCAGGGTGTCCGGCTTCCCGGCCGTGCTCATAGGGGGCAGCTCACCCCTTCACTGCCATCGGCGCCCCGAATCCCAACGGGGTATGAATTCTCCCCACCATGAAGTCCACTGCACTCCAAGCTCCGGGGACAGCCCTGCTTGGCTCGTGTGGATAAACAGGCGGCCAAACACCTCAGCGTCTATCCTGCTGCTGGAAACGTCCCCGATGGCTGCGCCTCATCAAGAATCCAGAGGATTTGGTGAAATTTTGCCCCGGAGCTTCGGAGGTTGGTCCTTTGTCACCTGGTAGACACTCACTTTCCTTTCCTCAGCTCAAAGGGACCAGCCGGTGCCTAATGACCCACTTCTCAGCCTCAGGCTAATTAAAATAGTGAGCGTTGGCTTCCCTGGGCATCGCGTATTTCGACAGACACAGCTTGAGGCTTCTTTATAATAGCAGAAGTCATGGGTTCTCCTCTCTCTCTCTATATATATATATATATTTATTTATATAGGTGTATATATATATATATATTTATTTAGGTGTATAGATATATAGGCAGGTAGACTTACCTGCCTCTTCTCCAGAAACAGTGACCCCGCCCTCCATGCTAAAAGGCGGCATGAGCCAGACAAGCCGTGAATTTGCGAAAAAGTCCAATTGGCAAAAAAAGAAACTTAGCGGGTACCCTCCTGCGCCCAAATTGCCAACCTGCAAGCCTTAGACCCAGCTCTCGCTCACGCGCTGCATCTATTTCACAAAGGCTCGCGTGCATTTCAGAAGAGGAATCCATCTAAACAGCCCCATGGCCCTGCAAAGGGAATGACAATTACTGGCGTGATATTTTCCCAGCACGGTACCGCAGGAGGCAAATTCTCGGCCCGAGACTTGTTTTTGTAACATCTCTCTCCGTTTTTTTCTCGAATCCAAAATTTATAGGATAATCTAAAGTTTTAGGATTTGAAATACAGCCGCAGTAATCTTTTCATTTTCTGTAGGCTTTCTTATTTTGGACTGCATCAAAAATAAATATGTTTTATGGCCCTGAACTTGAAGGAGGTTTTAAAAGTCATTTAAGGGTGGACTTCGGTTATGTTTGGGATCAAATCTTGATGAACAGCCCACTCCGTCTGTCCCCGAGGGAGAGCCCACTTCTTTATGAGGTTGGGCTGTGGCTTCTGAATAAGAATAAGAACAAATGTCAAGGATCGTGATGAGAAATAACAGTTCCCCATCATGGCTCTGAGATGTCCTGCTGGGAAAATCAGCATATTGATGGGCCCGGGGCCAAGGTAAACATCTCTCTATTCCAATAAATAAGCAAGGCTAGCCGATGTAAATGAATCATAACACCCTGGTCTCCGAGCAGAAGAGAGAGGTGGGCGGCTCGGCAAGCCAGGCTTCGCGGGCCCCTAAATTTCAGTTCCGAAGATCGTGCGCCCATCTCTTGCAAGGACCAGGGTTGACCTTCTGTGCTGGGGAAGGGGAACTTATAAAAGCGGCTTTTGTGACCAGGATGTGATTGCTTTCAAGTCCATAATTCTAGCTTTACCCACGCCCAGGTGACCCAGGCCTGAAGGCTCAGCTGGCTCCTGCGTAGACCCACCGCAAGGTCTCCGGTTCTCTCAGTGTGTCAAATCCTGAACTCCTCTCACATCCCCACACCTGCCTCCGGCCCCACATTCCTGGCCCCACATTCCTGTTCTCTTTAATGACGTTGTTAACGACCAGGGTCTCCGTGGAGGAAAGCTAGTTCCCATATGCCCCATGCAACCCAATGCCCTGTGGCTCTGACTTCCATTGCACAGCCTTCCCTGCATTCATCACCGCCCCCCAGCACCCCCAGCACCCCCACAGGGTTCTGTGTCGACCACAGCAGCAGCTCAGGCCACCACAGGTCCCAAGGAAAGGACTCGCATTTTACTCTCTGCCTCTTCACACCAGTGGTTGAGTCTCTGCCTCTAAAATAGCCACGTTTATGAGCAGGACAGGCCAAGTGTTGGGTGCTCTGGACACGGCCTACCTTCCGGTTCCATGGTCTCTCCGGCTCGTTACATGATATCGTGTATTATTATATAATATCTTGCATTATTTTATGGCAATGATATGATTATTGTTTATTACCATACTGTGATTATTTATTATGATACGATATTATTTATTATGTAATATAATAATGCAAGATATTGTATAATTACACGTAGGTGAAGGCTGAGAGATCATCTGCTATTTCCATGCCCGTCTGGAGCCGGGCTTGGAAGATGAGGGTGGCCGGGAGCCAGGCCAAGAAAATCTGCATTTCCCACTAGGTTTGGGACGAGGCTGGCGGGTGTGGGGAGAGGTGACGGCTCACGTCCACAGGCGTCCGTGTTCCAGGAGAAACCCTTAAGGAGAGGGGAGATTGACAGCCATTCTGCGGGGTGTCTGCCTCCACCCCGCTTTCCGGTGTGAGTTAGGGCAAGCTTGGCCACTGCGAAAATGTGGGTGCCTCTAACATGTCTGCACGAGAGAGAGGAAATCACACAAGCCAGAGACTGGGCTTTCTGATGGGAGGCTCTGCCAGCAGGTTCACACGCAGGAGGGGTGATTCTTCTGCCCCTGACGAGTCTCAGAAACAAAGATTTACATGGGACCCGAATCAGCATCCACCTCCTTGCACCAGGGAACAAGTGAACGACGCGACCATTTAATTCCGAAGCAAAGGAGGTCCACGGTTGGCAAACACGCCTCCCGTCAGCTGCCGCTCCCGACGGGCTTTCCCGCCTTCCCCGACCACGAGCATCAACACGACGGGACTCAACGCGGCGTCAAAAACGCATTCACTTTCTCAGGGTGGCAGTTACCCACGTTCAGCTGCAAATTCAGCTGCTGTTGAAAACCTGCTGGGGCACAGCATTGCTCTCCTAATTCATGAGGCAAATGTGCTAAAGATGAACACGGGGCTGGCTCCTTTTTTTGCAAAACCAGCATCAAGACACGCAGTGATCCCACACCTCTGAGGCCAGCTGGCAGACAGGCCGATTCCCTGCGGACATCGCCGCCTACGGGCACCGTGGTGGAAGAAATAACTCCACCCTGAGGAGTCTGGGCAGCTCCAGGGGGTAACAAGGGCCTACAGAAGGCAGAGTCTCGCCAAGTTTTGAAGCGAACGAAACAGACAAAAAGGGAAATCTTTGACAGAAGAAAATCGTTCCAGCCTTTTCTCCACTTGAAACTCCTTTTATGCGAAGGATCCATCAAGCTTTATGGGGCACAGTAGGGATTTTGCAGAATGAAAGGGACCCAGCTGCCATCCTTTTTATCTTTTTATGGCAGCATAAGAAGCAGTGTCTGCTGTTGTGGGCGCACTGAGCGTTGCTTCAGGTTCTATAAATCCATGCAGACGAGAAACTCATCTGCGAAGCTGAATCCAAACGTATCAGAGCTACAAACTTTGATTCAGTATTCAGCTTTGTACGACTCCCTCCTAAGCCTTACCCAACACATAATAACCACTGTGGGGGAGGTATGTTCACGGGGTGAAAATCAGCTGCGTGAATAAGGGGCAGGGCACCAGCAAACCACCCCGAAAGCTCACTCTGATGAATGACCTTAAGCTCTCCTGCAGAGCACGAGGGTCCCCATCTCCCCTGGGCTGTGTCCACTAACAGAACAGAACCTACTCAGGATCCAGGGAAAACTTTCAATCTTAGAGACGCAAACGGGACATGGTAAAATTCAGCAGGGCGACTCCAAACCGGGGAGGTTGATGGCTATCCACGCCAGGCCCTGCGTATTATCGACACAGCCATTCACAGGCGTCTGGCGCTATCCTCGGGGCTTGATTTTAGACTTAAAGTCTAAACTGATGAAATGATTTTAGACTTAAAGTCATGATGTGCACATCCCCAATGGCCTGGGACCTGGAACGAAACGCCGCCAGTATAGCCCCGGTCCAGGGTGCGCAGAAATCCCCAGCTTTCCTGCACGCGGTACGCGGCAATGGAAGGAAACCACGTGAGTAACATGTTTCACAACGTGGGTCTGTCCGTGAAAGGGCACTTTAAAATGCATGGTGCTAAACAACGGTGAACATATAACTTGGAGGCTTTCAAAACCTTACATTTAAACCCAAGGTTTCCCCGTGGCATCTGAATTCCTAATGGATTTAAAGAATTTGAGTGCAGTCGGGAAACCGGACGTAGCAGCTCGCCAAGCAGTGTTGAAAATGAAATCCAGATGAAGGCAGAGGGCATTTTCCCTATTAATTATGTATGTGCGGGAGAACAAGGGACATTTGCATCTGCAGGGTCAGCCCACGTCTCGCAAGCCAGGGGTAATCAATACGTTTGTTAAGAAGATAAATGACACTCGTGTGCAATCTTTAAACAGTGCCTGCGAAGATCAGAGGTAATTATTTGGGAAAAGCCAGCAGTTGGGGTGACGCATCCCTACCTCGCCTCTTCGCTGCTCCCTGGGTCTGCCTGCGGGGCTCCATCTTCTACGACGACAATGAAGATACTGTTGATTTCCAGGGTTCAGGCATCTTTGGAGAGAGCGGAGCAGAATTTCAACCATGCTAGGAGAAAAAGGCAGAGTAAATATTACGGAGGGGAACTTCTTGTTTGGGGCCGGGGGGGATCCACAACCCAGCCCCCCAACTGTTGAAAACATTCCAGAAAAATATCCAAGAGCAACGTAGTCTTGCCAAAGGCTACATTTTTTTTTCTTAAAAAGGCAAAGGAGCAGCTCCTTAAGCTAACCTAAGCCTCTCCTTCGCTTATGAGAAAAATCACGCCCCTGATAAATCACCAAGCCGTCGCGTTGGTCATCTCCAACGGCGATTTAGAGATTATCCTCGAAAGAAAGCATTGTCGAATTGCCTGGCAGCTACACGTCAGACCTTTTACATGTTTTCATTGGCATTAAATTCCATCTAGGAAAATGTAATATCTGTGCTATTGAACTTCATATGCGATTTGTCTTCCCCACGCCTGCTCTTGAATACTAGTCTACACGATGCCGCTCCACCCAAGGCTCGGGACACCGCAGCTGTGCCTCTGATTCACCCAGATGCATGTAAACACGAGGTGCTGATGCCGGATTTTGAGAGCCCCCCCATCCCCGGGGACTCACAACGTTGGGGAGCTCACTCCCCAGCTCCTGTTCTCGTAGAGTCCACAAGCTAAGGGTGCACTGGGCGTGTTGAGATCATTGGGAAATGTAGACAGCAGCATCCATGTGAAAGAGTTTGAAATTCAAAGTTAGGGGTCTATACAGCAGGATTCATTGGGCGCAGCTGAGCCTGTTGGTTTCACGTTGCTATGGCAATCCCCCCTTACACCAGCTGGGACGAGTCGTCAAAATAGAGACCATGTCTCCCCAGACCCCAAAATATATACTGTCTGGTATATTTATCCCCTTTACAGAAAATGTTTGCGGATGTGCAGTCTAGAACGTTTGAAGGTTAAATTACGTGGTGGAAAAAACTGTACCGTGAGCTCCTTTTATTCTTAATATTTCATAATTCAAATCTTAGAAGATGCTCAATAATAAATGATTGGGATAAAAGAAATCCCAAACCATTAAGAATTGACTAAGGAGACAAAGCCAGAAGCTGTGAAAGGAAGAGTGAATTCTTCTAGGTTTTCAATGAAGCGAAGGGATCTACAATGACACCCCAAACCTGGCCCCAAACCCCTGGCAGCCAGGCAAAAATTTTTTTTGAAAAATGGGAAAAAGAAGAGCAGGCCCTTCCATGGCTGGTGGCAGAGTCGCAGACATAGGCTTTTGTTGGGGAGAAGGTTGTGTGCACCCCAAAGTCTCAAGGCTGGAAACCAGGGCCCAGGAGGGAAGGAATGAGCTTGACAAAATGAACCCAACCTCCCTGTGTTTAAAACGCTTCGGTCACGAGCTCAGGTGCCTGGTTTATTTTTGTAGACAAGCGTTTGGGGGAACATGATCAACAGGTGATGTTTTAGGGCCCCGGCCTCTCCCCTCGAAAACTCTCCGCCCGCAGCTTCCGCTGTTACCGAGCGGGACGTCAGGATTCAAATCTGTGCAACTGGGCTGTTCTAGAGAGAAGGGCCTTGCAAAGGAGGAGCAGGGACGGGCCAGCATCCAGTCTCAGGGCCACTCGAGATTTCCACTTCAAGCCCCCGCTCGAGAGGACAATGCCCAGGCCCTCCCGCCGCCGCCCTGCACAAGATTCGACATTCAGACCCTCGGGAGATGCTGGGAGAGGGACATTGCAGCTCCATCCTTTTCTTCAATGCATTGTTTTATTGTCGTGCAAGCAGGGCCTTCTCTGGCTAAGGAAAGACTTCACACAATTTATATTCCCGTCTCTTTTTGCACAAAATAAGCGAAGACATCTCTTTCCCCAGGGGACGATCACAAACACCTTTGCATATGCACAAAGGTGACATCTTACTTTCTTTCCTTTGTTTTTTTCCCCCGAAGCACCGCCGGCTTCCATCCTCGTTAGTGTTGGGGGGGTACAGGGCCTCCCCCCAGTGTGGTCACCGTCCGGTACCCTCCACAGGGGCAATCCCTGACTCTAGTCAGTGCTCCCGGTAGTCCACGGTGCTCCTGCCACACACCTGTCCGGCCTGATCCTTCAAAAACGCCTCAAATATCACACAGGTAGATGCTTCTGTCTGTGGTGTGTATCGGGATTCTTTTGGCTTCACAAGTTGACGTCTGCGGATGATTGAAACAATCTCATCCTGCAGGCGGGGGCACGCTGGAGGAAGAGCGGATGCCTCCACACCCCCCAACCCCCTTCTAACACCCCTGAATTTCAGATTTCTGAGCGTCTGACTTACTGCAAACGCTCTCTGGGTGCTGCTGAGCAGTTCTGTACATCGAGTCTGTGAGCTCAACCCCGGGCTCCTGCACAGCACTGGTTTCCACGCGTGGACACCACCATCAGGGCGCTGACATCAGCTCTGGGCTCATCTGAAATCACCCTGACCCGCCACCTCGCATGGGAGGTGGTTAAAATGGACGCTTGGAAAACAAAACAGGGCGGAAAGCTGCCCCCGCCCGCGTCTCAGGAGCCGAGGGCTTCTGCTGTGTCGGTGATGTGAAGGGTGCCGGGGCCCCTCGGCGATGCCGCCATTAGGGCAATGAGAAAAGGCTCCCAAGTCATCCTCCGCTGAAATCAAACTCCCGGAGACGTCTGGCAAAGGGTGACTCGTGTGGCCCAGGCAAGCGTGCGCGGGACAGCTCTGGGGCCTGAGTGTGGTGACCGCCAGCCCTGTCACCCCGGTGTTAAGCCAGCCAGATCCCTCTGACAGCCCCAGGAACCGGACCCTGAAGCTGGGTAAAGCTCTCCAGGAGAAACACGGGTTTACTAAGGCAATGCCGACTGCGCCCGCCGATGCCGACAGGAGCGTGTGTCGTGAAGACCGTGTGCCCGGGGCTGGCCGCACGCATCCGGGAGCCCAGCCTCACCACTCACGCCAGGCCCAGTGGGAGGGGCTGTGTCCATCTGCCCCTGCACACAGCTTGGCGTGGCCTCAATGCCAGTGTGACTTTTGTGGATTCGATGGCCAACGCCATCCCCTGCTGATGCACACTCCCCGGCTGCATCTTCTCTGACACTGGACTGAGACTCAGAGGCTGTGCCCCATGTGGAAAATGTTCCCACTTGACACCCCAAGCTGAGTCTCTTGCACAGCTGGGTCTGCTCGGTGGACCTCACCCGCCGCCTGTGCTTCTCCCCACACGTCCAGGGACAAGATGCCAGGATCTCCCGTGCCGGGGAGTCAGCGGCGCAGGTTGGAAGGGCGCAGCCTGGTGCAGGAAGGGGACCACGGAGGTGCTCTGGGGTAGAGGACAGTGAGGACTCCGCACCCCCACGTGCACCCACATCTCCCTGGAAGAAGGCTCAGTGCTCTCACGTCCCAAAGCTGTTCGCTACGTTAACATCCTTGAAAAAATGGTCTGGGACAAATGGCTGTTGCCAGGCTCACCCGGGGCGTCTCAGGGGCACACAAATTGGGTGCAAAGCCAGCATTTTAACCCAACGGAATCACTTCTTATGGAAGCTTTAAGTCACGTCTTGCAAGGACGAAGCACGACTGTCTCAAGACCGTCCCAGAGAGCTTTGGCGGAGATCGTGCAATGACTGAGAAGATGCCGACGCAGAAGCTCACGGGCCAGCGACCACATTTCTCAGTGGCATCGAGCGCCAGGGCTGGTTCTGTTTGTGTTTCCCTCGACACATTTCGAGGGAAGACAGTGCATTCAAAAAATTACAGAAGATTTGGGTCACAAATAACCTCTACACGCTGGGCCGTCTAGATGCAACAATAATGCTAAATATGCAGAGAGAAAAAGCTCAGTCTAAACGGATGAAGACGAAGAACAGGTTGCCCAGCTGCGCTTTTCAACTAGGTCTTGTCCACGAGTGATTGTGTCTGTGTCCAGTCACACCAGCAGTCCAGACACGAAGATCCCACCGACATCCTGCCGTCCCTTCCAGGGACGCATTGGATAATATTGAGAAGTCCATGAAGTGTGCACTGACACCTAATATCAGTAAATAAAATAATAAATGAATCATCACGCTTTCGTGATTAGGAGTCACAATAAAACAGTGCAATCGGGCGTACGGGAACGGCACGCACTGGCCGTCCAGTCATCTCCTCACGCACCGATTGCCGTTGACACGAAACAGAAACGCTCCACCGTGGTCACCGATAACGATGTAAATGTGATTCTCTGCCCAGCCCTGCATTAAGCTTAGTCTCTAAATGCTAAGTATCTAAATGCCCCCTTTACCTTGTAACGAGCACCTTGGTGCCAGCTCTGTCACGGCCATGAGGCAAAGACTTTCATACACTATGTAGAAGGAAACAGGCAAATGCTCCATGACGTACATCTCGGAGACACCGTAGCAAAGAAAATGAAGGGGCAGATAAACAGCTGGGACAACGTCAAACTAAAAAGCTTCTGTACAGCAGGAGAGATAATAAGCAAGACGAGGAGACACCCGCAGATGGGGAGGAAACACTTGCAGTCCGCACAACTGATAAGGGACTGAGATCAGGGATCTACAAAGGCCTCACACAACTCCACGAAAACGATATAAAGAGTCCGGTCAAAAATTGGGCCGAAGAGCTGAAGAGATTTCTCCAAGGAGGACATGGAGAAATGCTCAACCTCAATGCAATGCACATCCAAACCACAATGAGCCACCACCTCACACCAGTAAGGATGACCCACATTAAGAAGAAATAACAACAACAACAACCCATGTTGGTGAGGACGTGGGGTAAAAGCAGCCTCTTACCCTGCTGGTGGGAAGGCACACCGGTCCAGTCACTATGGAAAGCTGCGTGAAGGTTCGTCAAATTACTAAAAATGGATCTATCATATGATCCATTGAGTCCACTGCTAGGAATCTACCCAAAGGACACAAAAACACTAATTGGAAAGAAAAGCTGCACTCCTGTGTTCATTGCAGCTCTATTTACAACAGCCAAGATAGGGACACAGCCTAAAGACCCCCAAACAGATAGATGGAATCCAGAAATG